TTTCAGAACTTATATAAGCTAGTGATAACTAATCGTGTATATAGACTCTAGGCTACAAATCTAGTATATTCTACTTTCATGTTTTTCCCAAAAATTTAATAGTGTATTTGGAGGTAAAGTCTTGGGCTTTTGGCATTTACACATATTTAAATGCCATATTTAAGTCATATTTATTTTATAGGGATCAGATAATAAGGAAAAGGGAGAAGCGTCTATGTATGTGTAAAAGGGGGTTAGAATGTTTGTGAAGAAAGCTCGGAGCGGATATCAGGTAATTGTAGTTGAATAATTATCACTGACTATTGTGGTCTTTGGGATTTGAGCCCGGATCAACTCTTACAGCTCGTATACCGATGACTGAGAAGGATGAAGAATATTTTAATTTTACATGAAATTCAAAAATATATTTTTGTCTTTTGTAATGATAAATCCAAGGTTGGGGCACTGCTTCTTAAACATTTTACGTTAAAATGCTGTCAATACTTAGTTAATGGCTGCTTTATATTGCATTGACTAAGAGCATTAAGAAATGTGGAAAAAATAGGCATAGGGTAAACTTTGGTAATTAACAAACCTCCATTTTAAATATACATACATATATATTTAAATAAAGCGCCTAAAACTGTGCTATGCTATCATGCTACGTGCCATATAATCAAAACTACACTGAAACCAATACAAACTCTGCATAATTTACAAAGTACTTATTATCATATGCATTTTGAATGGAGATATTTAAGGCTGTCCATCTAGGAAGCAAATCAATGTACTCGATCGTATTTCCGTTAAAGAGCATTGAACTCTCGAGAGGCAAATGCAGAAAATAGACGCAACTTTTGTCATAATCATGCAAATTTCACCTGTGTTTTTGGCTCTGTCCAATTGCATATTTTGTTATATTCAGAAAGGCTATTAAATATGTGCATGCCATGCAAATGCCCCAAACGATGGATAGCACAGTCATACACAGAAGAGTTATGGACCAAGCAGAGAGCAGAGGGTTGCAGATGCCAAATGAAATTTTCTGCTGCATTTCTCTGACAAAGTCAAACTCAAGACTTAAGCCCGGCTTCCAACTGTGTGTGTGTCTGTCTGTCTGTGTGTGTGTGTGTGTGTGTGTGTGTGTGTGTGTGTGTTTGTCTGTATAAATGCGCTTTAATAGCCATTGTAGGGTAGCCAATAAGCCACTGGGGCTTAGCCAATTCGGTGCAGCAACACTCATAACAGCGGCAGCAGCAATTCAAACTGCAAATGCAACTGCATTTTTTTGCATTTCATTCGTAAATCAATAAAAATCAAATAATACACAAACTGCGGGATCAATCACATTTATGCTAATGCAACTTACATAATCGGTGCGGAGTGGGGTGGTAGTTGGGTTGGGTTGTGTTTTGTGGGGTTAGATGGGTGCATGCCGCTGCCATGAGAAATTCAATTGAAATGTTGCTTTGACAAATTTGGCGCGTATTTGAAATAGCTTAGGTAAGCCACACGCAGATATGTATATATGTATCTATGTGGAAGTATAAGTACCATATGCAGTGTATAAAACGAAAAATACTGCATTCAAGTTTTGCAATTATAAAAGCGTATCTGTTGGCCGAACGGGCACAATGAACGGGGCATATATGTTTGGTTCTTGCACTTTCACTGCTTTAAAATGCATACCACCTACATTTTGTTGCTCGATTTGCTTTGCTTTGCTTTGCTTTGACGGTTCAGTGGCCAATGGTTGGGATTGTGATTGTTGTGGTTGTTGTGGCGATGCTTCAGGGGGCGATGGAACCACCGTTAAACATTCTGCATAAGTAAGGAAATTGTTACGGGAAGACGAGTTACCGATGCGGATGCTGTGACCAGCGGCTGATCCAGCGGCAGATCCCATTGTTCTACTGCTGAATTGCAAATCGCGCTCATAGTTCGAATACTGCTGTTCGATTCGGTTTGGTTTGGTTCGGCTGCAATTTGCCGTTTGTTGGGGCAGGCAGCCCCAGCCCCAGCCCCAGGCAAAGTCACAGCATCACAGCTTAAGCCTGAGCTTCTGCTTTAGCCACCAGGTTCAATCAACCCTCGTCCAGCGGCCAGGCCATTGACTTGCCCCACGTGGGTGTGTGTGCTGAGTGTGCTGTGTGTGGTGTGTGTGGTGTGTGTGTGGACCGTATCGTGGTCAATGTGGCCTTGTCGTTTGCCCAGGTTGAATGTACCGTTGTGTCTTTGAACTCTCTCGTTGATCTCTGCCTCTGCCGACCATCAGCTATGGCATAACGCAGCAGCCGCTGCCGCTCTGCCGCCCTGTGGACGTCGCAGCCGCAGTCGCAGTCGCCATGCCAGACACCCAGACGACGCCAATGAATGAGACAACGAACTCGCTGAGAGATGCCGCCGAAAAAAAGAGTAAAAGATATCACTCAAATAAGCAAAGAAATAGCCAGTCGAAATCGAAATATACCTGACACGATCTTTTGCATGCAAATCGCTTTTAGAGATCACTGAGTTCGCCAGAGAGCAATTAACATTACAAATTTTTGGCTGCTTGGGCAAAAAGGAAGAAGCTGCCAATTAGCATCATGTGGAGCCGAAGAATTGATATGCAAAGAGCGTAGACGAGACTTGAATGAAAGCGATCAGTGATCGTGCTATGACAAAATCCTTGATGTCAACGTTCGTTGATCTCAAAGAAATGCGCCTAAGATTCTCGTTTGTGGATCTCAGCATTTAGCTCTGTTGCCAACTCAAATTCAGGCAGCACATTGCAGAGGGAGCTAACTTTCATAAGTGAGACGATTAATCCAAAATCGAATGCAATAATTCCCAGCAGGTCTGCTAATCCAGCATGCTTCACAGCTCAAACCCATGCTTCACCTCAAGGTTCGGTTCTTGGAACTAGTTTCCCACAGATAATTCGGATCGGAATCAAACCGGCTTAGAAAAGTTCTTGCTTCCCAGATTTCCCGAAAACCAAAATTGTAAACTCATATAAAACAATATTGAGTAATATAAGACATTTGAATTTAAGTATTTCTTTCTCTAAATGAGCTTCAAACAAATTTTTAGCCACTTACTCAACACTGTTCTGACAGCCCAAACGCATTGATACATAAAGTAATACGAACCATGTCCATATCTAATTATTTACATACTAAGCGCTGCCCTTTGGCGCCTTTCTGCTGCAGTCCACCCAATCCCAATGAAACTTGTTGCCTGATCTGGCTGGCTGGCTGGCGATTTGGCGTGGAGCGACATGGCCTGGCCTGCGCATGGGTGATAAATAAATTCAGGTATTAACTTGCCATATATTTTCATTATATGCGACACAGAAAGTCGTGTTTTTTTCAACACAAGTGGATTTTAATAATAAAATGTGTCTAATTTGGTACCCACTCGCACCGAAAGCAGAAAACCTGATTGCCCAACACCTTTTCCAGGTGAGATCGCCGGCCAGCCGTTCGGCATGGCTTCCCACTGGCCTTTATGCTAGGTGTGCGGTGTATGTGCAACTGCAACTGCAACTTGCAACTTGTATCCGTATCCTCCGTGGTACGTGCGAGGCGTCAATGCTTCATTTTCACTGTCATCTTAAGTTGATTGCAAGTTACGAGCATGTTGACAACAACAACAACAATAACAACTACAACAATAACAACAACAACAACAATAATAATAACTACAAGAACTGTGCAGAGACTGGGGGCATGGTAACGGTAATTGTCGGCGCGCATGCGTATGGGTTGAGGTTATGTTGAGGGGTTAATGCCTGGTTGAGGTTATGTCCATGTGCGGGCGGCTTATTAATCAGAGCGCTCTGGAAAATTGCGCAACTCTTGGGAGCATGTGGCATGAGGCATGATTCATGCTTAATTGGAACCCCCGCCCCCCGCACCACCACCCCAACCATGCAACAGCCGTACAAATCTCACCCAGTTGTCAATTTCACAGACAACACATTTCAATCAAACTTTGCTGTGCCATAAATAAACCAACAACTGGACAGAGCCTCCAGCTCGCAGACCCATGCACTTTTCAGCTTAAAAGTCTTGTGCTTAAATTACAGCTTGGATTTGATGTTGTTGCTGTTGTTGTTGTTGTTGTTGTGTGCACGCCTAACGTTCACATTTTTCCACATGAAATTATGAAGTCTCCATGGCAATTAATACGCATGAGCCTGTGCCTGGCCAGGCCCGGCTCCGGCTACGGCTCCGACTCCGACTCAGGCCCAACTGTATGGCGGGTGCTGTCGTCTCGCATGTCAATTTAATGGCAATTAACTACGGCGAGCGTTTTGTTTTAATAATAAATTTAATGAGCTGCCAAAAATGGTTGCAAATTTACGTGGCAATTAGCGAGCAAAGCGACACTTGGCCAACAGATCGTGTGGTGGTCGCTCACTCGTTTGGTCAGCAGTGCCGCCAACTGCCGCCAACTGCTCCATATTGCTAATGAGCCGCTTTTTACTGTGCTTCGAGGCTTGGCCACAGTGTCTGTGCTGGCATTTTAAGCAGTTGCCAGAGGAGCGCATGGCATGTGGATTTGGCTGTTGGATATGCTTAGCTGCAAGGTGTGGCCAGCGGCCAACATTAAAAATCCTAGTACACAGTCCACAGATGCAATGGTGCAAAAACAAAACAACAGTGGGGTGTAATAATGGATGGGCTTAGATGGGCTACTATGAATGGGACAACAAAAAATAGCGCCAGAAAATCTAAATAACATTCGTGAAATTTATATATATGTATTAAATAACAACAAACAATACTTTTTAAAATAGTTGAAACGAAAACGAAATATACTTAAACAGGTTTTACCTAATAGTTACTCTCAAAGCAAATTGCAGCCTTTATCGAAAGAAACAGTTGTAAGTTTTTAAATAAAATTTTAAATATGTCACCCAATAAAAACGATTATGCATCATAATCGATTACCCAACAAAATATCGACTTAATAACTTATCCAACACTTAAATATTAAAAGCCCACATTATCGATAGTTTCATCATTTTAATTAAAGCACACACATATTGCACACACATTGCATCAGCAGTAAAATAAGAAAATAGAATAAATAGAAGATACTGCTGCTGTTTTCCAGAATTAGGCCATAGATGCGACAACTGACAATGGACATGGCGTGCCTCCAAACACTGAAGCTTGAAATCAAAACTTTGGAGAAAATATTCCCGAGGAATCACTTGCAGTTTCAGATAGTCAACGCCAATCTGGACGAGCTTTTGTGCAGATTCATCGACAAGAATGGCAAGCACTATGATATCCATGCGAACATCACGGAGACGTATCCATCGACGCCGCCAGTTTGGTTCGCCGAGAACGACGAGCCGAGCATAGTGCAAGCCCTGCAAATCCTGAGCAACACTAATGGACAGGACAACCACGTAATCATTCAGGTTGAGCTGCTTCTCCGCGAGCTGTGCCGTTTCCACAACATTGCGCCGCCCAGTGATATTGATAATTTGACGATACCATTGGAAACGGAGCAGCTGGCCGTCTGTCAAGAGGATAACGACTCTGATTCCGATGAGAATGAAATAAAGGAATATGATACTTTCTTCTGTGAGAGCGAGGCGGGTAACGAGTGTGATGAAATTTTACCCTTGGCAATGGAAAACTTTCAAATAACTAACGCAAATGATGTCATGGACCAGGAGCAATTAGCGACTCTTAAAAGGTTGCGTCAAAGTCAAAGACAGCAACATTTGAAAGGTTGCGCTGGCAGTTCCGTGCAGGCCACCGATCGCCTGATGAAGGAGCTGCGCGATATTTATCGATCGGATGCATTCAAACAGAAAACATACTCTATTGAGCTGGTTAACGACTCCATTTACGAGTGGAACATTAGCCTCAACTCTGTGGATCCGGATAGTCCACTTCACGGGGATCTATTGCAGCTAAAAGAGAAGGAGGGCGCAGGCGGTATTCAGTTCAGTGCCCTATTTAGGGAAACGTATCCATTTGATCCGCCGTTTGTCCGTGTCGTGCATCCAATCATCTCTGGTGGCTATGTGCTCATCGGTGGCGCCATTTGCATGGAGCTGTTAACCCCTCAGGGCTGGAGCTCCGCCTACACTGTCGAGGCGCTGATAATGCAAATAGCCGCTACGCTGGTCAAAGGCAAGGCGCGTATACAATTCGGAGCCACCAAGAAACTCACACAGGCCCACTACAGTCTGGCACGTGCCCAGCAAAGCTTCAAGTCGATGGTGCAGATTCATGAAAAAAATGGTTGGTTCACTCCACCCAAGATGGATGGCTAAATCTCGAGCCGTGTACACAGAGTACACACAAAACCTAGCAATTGATAGACAAAAATTCGAGCTATCATCAGAACTGTCACTATAAACTTTCAGTTCTGCCTTGTAATAAATTACTGAACAATGAAATCATTCTCATTAACAATTACGATATTTTTTGTGCATTAACATCGTAATTAAAATCGAGAAACACTTGATTTTTTTAGATTAAACTTTGTACGTGGCTTCCAAAAAAAACCCTACAGATAAATTGTAGAAAATACAGCTATCACTTTCTAATAGGAACGCTTCGATTTCATAGCTGACAAAATTATAAAAAATTGGAAACCCAAAATTGACTTGGAAAACATAAAATAAAAATAAATATGTACTTTGTTTTAAATATATTATATTTTAATATAAATCAGAACTAGTCCAGCTTGGTGGGTTGGTTGGAAATTATTTGTTCAAAATTAAATGTATAACAATCCTTAAAAATAAAAACAAGTTTTCGTCTAAAATGAAAATACCGTTTCGTATTTCAAGAAAAATAGGAACATTGCTTAGACGACCTTTTATACAAACGTTTAATATCAATAAAATCTGATACGAATATATTTTTAAAACCAGAAAAGTTTCCCATGCAGTCTTTTTCGACCGATTTATACGATTTTGCTCAAGAGTAAAGATTATAGCAAAGTTCTTAAATGCCGAATTCGGTCAAGATATATTTTTCAAAGCAAAGATGTTATTCATATAAGAACTTGATTTGGGGCCGATCGTTTCTACTTCTGCATATATACTCCCTGCAAGAGAAATACGAGTGCCTTGGTGATAGCTTCAAAAATGAGACTAGTTTGTATAGAAACAGGTAGGTCTTGGCTTTATAATAATCAAGAATGTATATTCTAATATGGTATGTATTTCTTTGGTAGCTATATGATATAGTGGTCCCGACGCCTGCAGACGGACCTAAGATTCAAGTCGATAGCTTTAAAATTGAGAGGTTAGTTCGCATAGAAACAGACAGTTGGACAGACGGGCATGGCTATATCAACTCGCCTGTTGATACTGATCTAGAATATATAGACTTTATGGAGTCGGAGATATCTCTTTCTATTGTAATAAACTGTTAGTCTCTACAAAAGTATAAAAAGCTCTCTATTGTAAATTAGATATTGAATAATTATAATAAATAAATATATTTTATACGATTTAAATAACATTTTCTGTTTCCCAAAATTGAAAATAAAAATGGTACTTCAGTTATCAGCAAAGATACCTATATATTTTATCATGTGAATTCACTCTGTAAATTCAAAGGAAATCCGATTTAAAACATAGAAGCTACTTAAGATATTTTATACAAATGTGGAAATAGGAAGGCAACTCGTCGAACACTATCGACTGGGGCATAATTTATTTTATAAATTTAAAGTAACTAGATTAAAATATTAATAAAAGCTATTATATTCTCGTAATCGCACACTTTCAGTTAATTTGACTTATGCTGGAACGTGAAAAATTGAATTTTCCATTCAAACACCTTTATGTCTGCAGGTGCAGGAGTGAAAATACATATATAGTATCATGGTGTGCAGTCCTATAGATTAGATAACTTGTTTAACAATTGGTCCCGACTAGAATGAGTGAATCTCCGCGCTAAAGCAAAGCTCGTCTTAGAAGAAGCTGACGTGAGGGAGAATAGCGAATAGAGGAAACAAGACGATTGGGTTAGTGATAGGTGAGTGTCGAGGATTGCGCTGATTCCTCACCTCATCTGTGGGTGATATCCATATTGCTCGCGCAGCTCGGCCTTTGTGATAGTGCGCTCCAGTTGCTCGGGCATCAAATCAAAGTGACGCGCCAGTATCTTCCAGTGCACCATGTTGAAATAGTTGTATTCGCCGGATTCCTGATAGCCGCATATAACATAGTGTGGATTGTCCGCCTGACGCCGGATCCAAAGACGCTCATAAATGTGAAAACGCCAGCCGCGTTCGGCCAGTTCCGCAGCCGCCAGCATTTGCATCATATCGCCCGGGTATGTATAGAAAAAGAAGAACAACAGCTCCACCTCCATCTGATCTATCTTGGGCTGCGGCAAGTCCTGCCCGCCAGCGCGACGATAGTGCAGCGGCACATCATAGTTAACCTCATGTGGCGCACAGCGTCCGCCCTGCAGCGGGCCGGCAAAGCAGGCGTGCAACTTGTTCGCCTCGCAGGCACAGCAATGCGCATCCACATTAAGACCAGCCGCCTCGTGGCCAAAGATCTGCGACAACAGATGCGGATTCTGTTGCGCCGCCTCTAAGTTGCTAGCCAGTCCGGCCAGGCCGTAGGCTCCTTCCATGCTGCTGCCCGGTCTATCCCAGCGACGTGTGTTGCTCTGCGGCGGTGTTATGTCAAAGGTAACGCCACCCAGCGGCACACCCATGCGATTGGTGCGCAGGCGCCCATAAAATTTGACGTGCTCAAAACCAGGTGGCGGACCAATGTTGGGAGCTGTCGTGTCGTTGTTTGTAGTCTGTCGGCTCCAGGCGCGTTGACCCACACCGGCGGTGAGGAACTGCTTATCGAAGATGCCGCTGCTTCGGCGCTCGAAGTAATTTTGTTGGTACGCATCGCTGTCCGGGGAGAACAGCTCGGTGGGGCTGTTATTAAAATCGGTGGTGGCGGCAACGAGTGCCACCGTTGGCGCCTCATTATCAAGCGTCTCATGATCGCTGGAATATGAATTATTTTTGCAGCCATTGCTGCTGCCGCTGCTGTGCAGCTCCACTAGCAAATCGGGGACAGGCTCCGAGTCCAGCACGGATATCGCCCGCTCACTGACACTGTCTGGTGACGGCGGCTGCAGCACCTCATCGTCATCATCGTCGCTTATCATGGCTGTCCAATCATCCGGCACGGCTGCATTGCTACCACGCAAATCATCGTGGGTGCCCGGCAAGGCTGGAAAATCCTCGCGCAATATGGTAAACTTTGGCGGCGGCGGTGTGGCTGGCGGCGAGGACTCTGGCCTGGACATATTCTTGACCACATCCACATACAGCGCCGAAGAGTTTAGATTTTGCTTGATTTGCTCTGTTTTCTTTTTACCTTCAGCGGATGCTGCAGCGGCCGCGGCAATTGCAACAGCTGCCGCAATCGCCTTCGCATTGTGACGCTTCATTTTGTTGAACGAAACACAAACGAAAATAATCCAAATAGAAACAGATGATTTGATAGCAGCTTAGGAATTTTTTTCAACATTTGACAACCGGAGCAGATGTTTGACAGTGCTGTTAATGTCAAATTAGGCGCCCAGTGCTGGACAATCGCCGGCTTTTCTGATCGATAGTCAATAAGCGATAACTCGATAACTTGCAAAGCTTTACTCAAATGCAAATTTAACGAGTTTCTATAACGTTTATAGTTGTGCATGAGCGTGTGTGCTTGTGTGTGGGTGAGGGTGCTACGGAAATTGCCATAAACCAATTTAAAAGTCAAATCATAAATTTAGCAAGCTGCCTAAACGCAAATTCACCTGCAGTTGCCGCCAATTGGCAACGCAAAGAAACGATCGTCAGGTTATGCAAAGAGTTATGAAAAACGCTGGTGCGGTAGAAAAGGGAGAGAGAGAAAGAGAGACAGAGACAGGGAGAGAGGGAGAGAGAGAATTGCAGGCCATTAACTTAAAATGACAACAGCACAACATAAATCTCAGGCCAGCCGCTTTGTGGCTGCACTTAAAGGCAAATGTCTGGAAATTGACAAAAGGAACGCCGCATGACCATAAACTGAAGCTAAGACTTGGCTGGAGCCTGGACCAAAGTGGTGGCACGGCTGTGGAGTGGGCGGCGCAGGCGTTGGCATTGTGCGCTAATAGCCCAAGCACCATGCAACACCAGCCACTGCCCAACAAACCAGACGGACGAAGAGGTACCGGAGTGTTGCCACACCCCAGTCCCCCTCCCCAACGGGCACTTGGGAAATTTATGCGAACGAGGTGCGAGCGTCAAATTAACGAACTTGTCTGCGAGAACGAGGAGCGCAGGAGAAGATGCAGATGCGGCCCAGCGGCAAAGCACAGACTAGCCACAATCCTCTCTCTCGCTCTCTCTGTGTCTGCCTATATCTGCATCTCTTTCGCACTGTTAAGTCAAAACATTCAGGAAATCAGGTGCACGCAGTTCGGCAAATTAAGCACAAATAATATAAAATACAATAATGCTAAATCCATGCCGCTGGCATGAAAAATGATACACATAAAGGGGGACAGACAACAGACCCCATTGGAGATGGTACACCAAAGATGGATTATTATTTGAGAAAAATTAATTTAAGTTCCAGCATATCCCATTGGTTCCTTGGGAACTTGGAATTCAACAAGTTAAGAAGTCTTAAAACTTATTCAGTTTAGAATGTGAGATGTGAAATTACTACTAATAAAAAAATTTATTATTTTGATTAAGACCGATTTTATAAGATAGCATTAAGCTAAATTTATTTTAATGTTAAAAAATAGTGAAAATTTTGATACACCGTTATTTTTCAGCCATTTGCAACATTGTTGAAAATGAATATCCTTTTCAGTATTGATTAATTTCACATACAAAAGTAATGCATATTTTTAAAACAACATAATGGTTTTATCACCTGATATTAACAGTGGAAAAAAATTGTTAATTGATTGAAACGGTCGTGTTCTTCAGATATAAGGGCAAGACTTTATAGACACACGATATGTCACCGCAAAACGAGCACGACACGCACCCATCCCTAGCCAAAGCTAACTAACATTATGAATTACCACTTTGGCTCAGGCAGAGCAGAAGCTGCTTGAGCTTGGCCACAAAAACTACTATAAATCATACTCATGTTGCGCTGGCAAAGACAACGACAACGCCGCTCCGAGCTGGCACCCAAGTGCAGTGCAATGTTTTTCAAGTTCCAGATATCAGAGTCCAAATGCAACGAGAGCCAACGGCCACTTTGTAGACATCGGACGGGTCAGCAATTGCTGAGCCATTAAATTGCCATTGCCAACAAGTGAAGCGCATATGCCGAGCCTGGACACCAACTTTACCTGTTGCTCGGTCGGTAGGTGTTAAGACCCGGCATTCACTTAAGCTGCTTTTTACTCACACAAGCTCCCAAGATTACCAGCTCCAAAATTACCCGTGTGTGCATATCTCGTATATTTGCAGAGTGAATGAACTATTCCAGTGCCAGGCAAACATTATGGAAATTAGCCCTGGCCCCAAAGTGACGCCCCATCACCGACACAAATGACCCCAATGCGCATCACTCAACTGCGTGTGCGTCGTCAGTTGGAGCTGGAGCTGGCCTAATGACCAGCATCAGGAGCAACAACAGCGAGAGCACTTGCATCCGCAGAAGTTGGTCGGACGCACAGTTTTACGAGCAGCTTGTGCAATTGTGTGGGCCAGGCATGTCTGCCTTGTCCTGAAACGCTTAGCCGGACCATTAGTCGAAGCGTCCTAATGGCCATATGTTTATGAGGCTCTTCGCAGCACTAAAAATTATGCATATGTAATAGGTGAAGATCTCTTGTAGCTGTTGTGGGCGGTGGACACGTTTGTTTTATGCTCTCTGACTAATTTCTTTGATGGCCTTGCCACATTTAGCAGAAGAACCAAGCCACAAAGTCTTACAATATTCCTGGAGTCTATTCGGACCTTCTCCTAAATACTTTTACAGAAGAAGTGTAAAATTATTATGAACAAACGAATCAGAAGATACGAAATGTCCTAGCTACAATATATTTACATAATCTTGTAAAATGTTAATATTCTAAGTATATAGCCTTGCAAGAAATAGGAAAACCTTAAACATTTAGTTAAATTTATAACGTGAAATATAGAAAGGTATATAAAGATGTAAGAACACACCATAAAAGTTGTATTTAAAGGTTGTCTACCAGTTTTTAAGAAAGATGTTAAATTTTCTTTAAATAGAGTCAATTCTTTTAATGTCTAACTAATAACAATACATTTTCTTTAAGTTCGTGTATGTTCGTTGCTTGATTCATTTTTAATTGTATATGTAGTATTTAGGACATATTTTAAGACAAGTATTTTATAAAGTCAATAACTAAACAATAAAGAGTGTTCTAGTCGGGAGTAGCCGACAAGCAGATACCAAGAATTAGTTATTTGGTGTGCACCCAAGGATTTACTTGCAGTTCTGCAAATCAAACACTTTATATGTGACAATATTTGAATAATTGCATTCAGCATTTTCCCTCCACGAGAGCTTATTCCTGCTCTTGTTGTATTAGAAACAGTGATAGCCGTACAATCTACATTGAAGCTAGTCAGTAAGGTTTTGAAATAGTTCTAACTCAATATAGTTAATAAAGAGTGTAACATATATATAATATAATTTTTTAAAACGGTGAAAACGGAGAAGTGTGAAACAGGTCTCAAATAAATTTCCATAACGTTGAAAATTAATTTAAACATCAAATTACACAACACCAAACTTTCGACCTTAATTTCCACCGTTGATCACCAATAAGTCGATCAGTCAGTCAGTCAGACAGTCGGACAGACAAACAGTTTTATAAATTGAGATATTGACAACATTTTCTCCTCCTTAGCTTTTCAAAGAATTGAAAATTCCTAATAAGCAATTTGTAGCCAAGCAAAGCTATTGACCTTGTCAGGCCCATCAACTTGATGCTGTTTGGAACAAACTAGTCCATCATTACAGATGAATTACCAACTTGAATCATCAATCAATTGCCTAAGGAAACCAACTCATAAAGTAAATGCAATTGCAAGTCAATTTTTGGGGTGCTTGGACAACAATGTTGCATTGTCGTTGCTGTAACCATTCACCGAATATTCACTGATTTCATAAAATATTACGATAAATGTCGTTTTCAACATTTATAAGCGCAGATTTTCATATTTTATTGCTTATAACTGCAAAGCGACATTAAATGCTGCTGCTTAAAGATACAAAATGCTGCGCATAATAAACCCAACACAGAACCCGATCCCCCAAAAACAGATCTGCCCAGACCCCAGAGCAATCCATACTAAAAACAAAAAAGAAAGAAAGAAAAAAAATGAATTGTCTTCATTTTGTAATTTAATGGTATTTTATTGAATTTTTGATGCACACGGACAAGGCGACTACGGTGTGGAACTGCATCCTTGGCTGCTGTGGCTCCAGTGGCTGCTGCCGGGTTTCGAGATCTTCGGTTAGTTGCCGCCGCCTGTTGACATTTAAAATATGGCCGCGTGTCAGAGCGGATGCCCTACGCCCATTTTTATAGCAGTCAGGTTTACATTTCGATTTCGATTTCAATTTTTTGGCACTGATCCCCAATACGCAGTACCCAGTACCCAAGACCCGAGCCCGAAGCTGTTCCTGAAGCCGGCGTAAATTCAATTTGAAGGTCTGCACAGCGTCTGAATTCCCGAGATACCAACAAAATGTGCTTTCACTTGACCCGCAGTGCTGCGTAAATAAATTTTATCGCTCTGTTGACACGTGCGCGTAATATTTCATTAAATTAAAAATACAGAAATAACAAAAATATACAAATAATAAAAATAAATCCGATGCAAAATGAGCCATTTTTGAATCGCCGAAGCCTAACTACCCTTGCATGCAGATGGATTAAAAGTTAATCACAATTAACTAAATTGAATGATATGTAACCGATATAATCTTATCTTTTCGATTTTAAAATCTTGGGAATTACTATCAAACAAACTTTGTAAGCTTACGCCCGGTCCCTACATATTCAAGATTCTTAATAGGGCAAGCGACCAGTGTTGGGCAACACTTCTATATGCTAGAACAGCTTCCTTTCTACTTCGCAACAAAATACTTCTTAAATAAGTTTTTGTTTAGATTTTAGTTAAAAATGTTTTAAAATGCGCAACAACAAATTGTTGTCAAAAACTGAAGAGAATTGTAATGTTGTCAAAAACTGAAGAGAATTGTAATTGAATATTGTATAAACTTAATTTTAACTGATAGATAGAAGTGCGAGATATTTCAGTTTAATAAACTTGATCAGCGGATACTCAAAGCTTCTCTTATTATTCTCTATTATATAATTAAACTCAATATTCGTTTTTTGTAAAATGTAAAATGTTCTTGACGAATCTTAAAAAAGTTAAGAAAAAAATATTGTATTACATTGGTTTCTGTATAAGTTGTGTAATCTCAAAAAAATCACTCAAAATATAAAAAGCTAATGAATAGACGAACGGCGTCAAGTTATTTTTAAAAACAAGTCTTTATTTATGTAAAAGCTAATCGTAATCAATTCGAATCGACTCAAAATAAATTTATTGAGAGTATATACAATGGGATCATTAAATGCCTGTTGACTTCATAAATTGTATATACCCAGTGTAAGAGTATAAATATATATGCAATCAGTAAGGCTTGTGCAGGGTGCATAAACAAATCGGCAGCCGCATCGTAACTTCGTTTTCAATTTGGCAAGTTTGACACTTGGCCAGTTAGTCAATTGGCCAAGTTTCACAATTGGCCAACGGGCGCGCAATTCAAAAATGTGTCTAAGTGCCACCTACGTTGCATGCTGTTGGAATTGGTTTGAAGTTGCAGTTAAAGTTGCCGTTGCGCGTTGCGCGTTGCCGTTGTCATTGGGGGCAACCTGTCGCTACTTGCGCCATTCACTTGCCGGCAATGCGTGGCTCCTGCTTTTGCTCTGATTGCAAATGTCACGTAAAGCAAAACAACAATCAGCATGGGCCATTTCTTAGACCGCTATAACAAATAAATAAACTCGCGTGAGTTGCAACTTTAACTTAAGCTAATTAATCACAGACTAGCCCCCTGGCAAATGCGACTGCAGCACAGGTAAATTAAATGCCGCCTAGTTATTGGTATAGCTATATGTTGCTAATATATACGGACAAGTTAAGGGGTTAGGTAAGATCAACTTCCATCGAAGAGTATATTCGATATATTTCATTCTCAAAAAAACCTAAATACAAACAGTGGAAAGGGGACTAAATCCGTAGGGACTTGAGTTGAGTGAGAGCTTTTAATTCTATATATAGTCTTTAGTTCTAAGATCTGGTGGCTTCTTCAGACAGATAGCTACGCAGCCGGAGGAAAAGGCAGACAGTGTGCAAAAAGAGAAAGATAAAGTTTATGCTTCTGTAGTGAAAATCTCATATTTCAAAAACGCAGATATAAAAGAACGTAAATATTTTTCTGCAGTCTACCCACGTACATGATCATTATAAGCCCACTTTGTATTTATGTAAAACCAATTAGGTAACTGCATGTTAAGCGTATGCCAAGAGGGAATTTATTGAATACACTCGAATTGTAATTGTAATTGTAACTGAAACTGCAGTTGATGTTGCCGTTGCCGAAGCCGTTGCGGCCCTTACCCTGCGGTCAGTCATAATTTTAGCCATAATCGAATCGAATCGGTTAAGAGTAATGGACCAAAGGGTTGGAACCACGGCAACGCCCTCAACATACTACCGAAACATACGAGTACAGCCCAAAACGTATTCGTTGCACACATTTTTCATACTTGCCTTCAACTTTGCACTGCCAAAGCGAATGAACCGAGTGACCAGAAGATAAGAGCTATACATAAAATGAAAAAAGCAAGTCAAGGCGCACTTTCAATTAATCAACGAAATTAATTAAGCCCCCCCGATCAGTGATCAGTAGTGGCCAGGCAACGGCCTCCTGAGCACCGAGAGCGCTGAGCATTGAGGATTGCAACATAATTTTCATTTTGGCACAGCGTGCGTTTGTCGTCGCGTTGTTGTTATCATAGCAGGACGTGGCGTCGACGTCCACGTTCATGTCCAAGTCCATGTCCGCGTCGCCAGCTCAGCAGCTCAGTTGGTCAGTTGGTCACTGGTCACCGCACTCAATTAGCACGCATGTAGCGCAACGGTGCGGCGATAATTAAGCCAAAGCCTCTGCATATGCATACATACATATAGCTGAAGCTCTAGCCTGGGTCTAAAGCCCGAATTGGAGCCTGGTGACAATTGGGCCCGCACGATTTATGCGCTGCAGCCTGATGCCGGCGACCAATTGCGCAACATTTGTCTAATAAATTTGCGTTTAATCACGGCACAAAATGCTACACGCTGTGATTAAGTCCGCTGACGTTGACCGTACCAACTACCGTTTTTGGCCATGATAAGCAGCAGCAGCAGCAGCAGCAGCAGCAGTCAGCCAGCAGCCTCCGAGCCTCTGGTCTATAATTCAACACCTAATGCTTAATATGAATTCTCCGTCTCCTGATAGAAGGAGTAAGCAACAATCACTACATAGATAGTAGCTGTGAAACGCATGTGTTAATTAATTAATTAGTTCAATTTTAAATTACGCGCTTCTCTTTAACTCACTGCCTATCGAGAGAAAGGAGTATGCGACCAGTAGATCGTCTTCTATGCTGGCACTGGACATCAGCAGGTAGAATATCAATTCGATAATTAAACTCGTAAGCTTCACAACTATTTGTACGGGCAGTAAATAGTTAAGAGTTTCAGGCTGTCGAAACACTGTGCTGAAATATTGTGTTACCACCAGATTTTAGGGCACTCACATTATATGCGACAGTCAGTAGTAAGATTCCAGCAATTATATTAATCTGTGCATGCAGAAACCATATCACGATCATACGATGACAAATTTGTCCGTATTCCAATACCACTAAATACACATTTGCAAAACCGTGCAGGATGATAAAGTAACCAAGTAAGACGCACCCGAGTCGTAGAGACATGCAACATAGAAATGACTTCAAAACAATCATGCTTGATAAAGTACACTACCAAAATTGAGTATTTCGATTTGTTCTCAGGAAGTAACTATTTCAATTTCTATGTAAATTTGTAATTTTGAAAGTATTTGCGAAGAAAACAATTATGTAATTTTCTTGCAAGTATTAAATAGAATAGTAAGGTTTGTACAATAGTTTCTTATGGCAAAAATCTGGCAACATTATTCTTGTACATATATATTTAGACATGGGTCAAAATTTCCCGCATCCATACTCAGTTCCAGTTCTTCATGGATTGGCCTTTTAATCAATTTGGCATTTAAATCTGGCAACATTGTTCTTGGTCAAAATTCATGTGAAAATGGTACCCTCAAATATCCTATATAGACATAGGTCAAAATTTCCCTCAACCATAACTCGGTCAAATCTCATCCGACTTTCATGCGGTTTGAGTATTTCTTCATTGTTTGCCCTATAGATCAATTTGGCATCTAAATGTGGCAACATCATTCTTGGTCAAAATTCATGTGAAAATGGTACTCTCAAATATCCTATATAGACATAGGTCAAAATTTCCCACAACCATAACTCGGTCAAATCTCATCCGACTTTCATGCGGTTTGAGTATTTCTTCATGGTTTGGCCTCTAAAATAATTTGGAATTTAAATCTGGCAACATTGTTCTTGGTCGAAATCCATGTTAAAAAGGTACCCTTAAATATCCTATATAGACATAGGTCAAAATTGCCCACATCCATAACTCGGTCAAATCCCATCAGATTCATAAAGTTTGGGTCTTTCTTCATGGCTTGGCCTCTAGATCAATTAAGCATCTAAATGGGCAACATCATTCTTGGTCAAAATTGGCATTCAAATCTGGCAACATTATTCTTGTATTTTATTAAAGTATAGACAACATTTCACTGCTGTAATTTCTCGCACAGAAACCCTTTCAATTTTTTCCGATAAATGTGTTTTTGTTGATGCTCTTCTAGCGTCACATACCACTAACATCTTACGGAAGTAAATTGAATATATTTGCAAATATAGAAAAACTGTGTTCTATTCAAAATCTAATATATTTACGGCCTTTCACAATTATTTCAGAAACTAAAGAATGTAGGAAAATCAGTTAAACTGGTTTAAAACATGTATTTATATATAAATGAAACCGGAAATGCCCCCATTAGTCTATAGCATATACATATCTTCACAGTTTCATTATACCGTTTATTATAGATTCTAAATTGGCAAGTGTAATCTCAGCAAGGCGGTCTGGCAGGGTTTTTCATTTAACAATGTTATACCTATATAATGAATGATTCTGCATATATCGGCACTTGACTTGCTAAGTCTATAAAACAAAAAGTTTATCCGCTAGGGCTCTGGATTATCTGTCTAGCTTTTTGGCTTTAATTGAAATCCAAATTTTAATATATATCAAAATTAAAGTGTTATGCTACCGAGTGAACATCTACGCAACTTAAATCAACGTCTTATACCATTGACACCAGAGCTGATTCAGGATATGTTGGATAACGAGGGCCTTGAGTATCAGACGCCACCTGGCGGCCGTTCGCTTTGCTCTGAGGACTACAGCCTAGGAAGCACAAGTCATAATACCGCAACGCAGTTTCACGATCAGCACCGGTCCCAATCTAGGCAAGTTAGGCGATGCGAGAGGAGCTCAACGGCTCGCAGACCAAACGGGGAGAGCGATAGTTTGGAGGAAGATAGCCAGCTAAAGCATCAGCGTGCTAGAAAGCATAATCTGTCGAGGCCGTCGAAACCGAAATATCATTTGGAATTACTTTATGCCGGCAGGCAAGGTCAGCAGTTTAGTAGCAGCACAGACGATGAGTCATCGAACTTGAGAAATCTTTTAGATATACTTCGGTCCGCGGAACGACATAATCACAGCAAGAACACCGAGACCAGCTCGGCTGGTGGTTGTACGCTAGCTAAGCAGCCCGAAACATTCTCCATGGAATTCTTGTGCATCAAACCATCGAGAAGATGCCTATATAGTACAAGCTCTGACAGTTTAATTTCCAAACCCTCGAAACATATAGAGGAACAAAGCGATCTTGGCGCACAAAATTATTGCCGCGGAAATCAGCATTGGATTAACATGATGGTGGTACCCAAGTCGGAGACATCCTTTCTACTGAATCAATGCAAACTACAAAACTTTAAGACAAACAGCTGCAATGCCTACTACACGCCCAATGCGAAGGACTTCAGGCGAGACCGTGAGGCGGTTGCTTCACTCTTGGCCAGACCTCGCTGCAAACGGAATTCTAGGAATGCGTATTGGTAGTGAAAGTGAAGTGACTTTTTAATGGGCATTTTAGATGCACACATGTTCAAAACTATGTAAGCCCACACCAACCAAAACAACAACAACGACAATAATAACAACAAATTGCCTGTCATGTTGTGTATGGAGAAATGCTTTTAGTTGAAAGTCTTACCTAGAGAATATCAGAGGGAGAGAGTGAGAGAGGGGGAGAAGCAATAAGGTTACCCTAAAACAAAAGCTGTGTTCAAGCCTACATTTTTCCCCTCGATAAAACATCAATTTGTGTGGGATCTATAGCTTTCAAAGTTTACTTTTCATCAAGACTGCGATTCTTAAGAAAATTCCCAGCGCTTACAAAGACAAGTCTTCGCTGTAAAAAGGTTAAGAGCGAAAACTAAACCAGGTTGCGTCTCTAGGAATAACATTCTAACTTCTGTTCTTCACCGTGTGCTAATAACAAGAATGGGATAAGGTCAATTTGATGACGGTTTATTTATTCTCATTTTATAGTGTGAATAGAGAGAGAGTCCTTTGAATTATGTTAATTATGCCTCCCTTTTAGTCTCAGCAGGTGCTGAAATAGGTTTCAGAACTCTAATAAAAAACAGAAAATTTACTCTTGAGAGTATTAGCATATGCTGCTGTTGAAATATTGAAGATATTTTGAGAAATTGCATCCAAAATTTATGTTAAGATCCAAACTCGCTCACAAATCCAAAGGTGAGGCTTTAAGCTACTTTTGATAGCAAGAATCACTTTCGTTCTGAAGTATTTTGGCAGGCAACTTATATTGACTTTTCCTTGGTTTTAAGATCCTAAGCTCGAGACACCTCCCTTTACTGGAGACCAACGCCTTCAGACATTTCTGTCCACTATCTAAATTGGGTACCAGGCTAAGTCAATAAACGTCTTTGTACTATGCTGTTTCCATACATTACCTTAAAAACTCAAACTCCTTGAGGCCGCAACAAAATTTGACCATATATATATAGGTATAAAGCGCACATTATGGCCCACATATAAATCACCATTAATTTGACAGTAGATTTTACATAACTGCGTCCAACAGGTGAAAGCGAAAAGCGCAGCTGGCTATGGTCATGGCCAGATAAAACCCAGGAGATGCTGGCCCGGCTCCAAATGGAGAGTCATGAAGAAAAACTCGCCACTTGCACTCGTAAAAATTTACTACCTGACATGGCATGCAAAATCGAATTGTGTGCTAATATTTGGCCGAATACTGCACAAGACATCGCTTGGGGCCACCTTTTGGACATGGACATGACGTAGTGACTGCGGACGAGGAAATTTCCCAGTGCCAGCATCGACTTTCTGACAACAATAAAATCATTTTTGCATGCTCAAATTGGCAAATACCAGTTAGGCTGCGCTGGATGTGATGGCCAGCTAGGGCGGGCGATTGTATGTGTGGAATAATCAAAGGAATGGCCAACGTCGGCATTTGTCTACCTTGCAAGTGTCTCCGTGATCGACATGCAACGCCAGTGAAAATGGTTGTCAAATGGGTAAAAGTTGTCATGGAACCCAGCCGGCCTGAGCCTAACTAAACTTTTTGTTGCTCTCACCTAAGGGTACTATAAATTTAAATAAATCGCCTGTAAGACATAATATTTGAGCTAATAAAAAAATGGACACATTTTAATGCCTATGAAAGTAAGAGATTGCATGTTGCTTTATATTTGTGTGTTTATCGACCATTAATAAATAAATTTAAATAAATTCAGTTCTTCCTTGGACATATATATCTTACAGTTGATATTTGAAAGACATTACACATTGAAGACGCCCCGAGCTCAGAAACAACAAAAGTTAAAGACTCGTAATTTGATATCTCCCTTCATAATAAGGATCCATTTCGATTTTGAGACTTGGTTCTTAGCCATAACTCAAAAATGAAAATGGAGATAATAATGAGTGCACTTTCTATACATAGTGTGGGGCAAACGGAAGAATAAGCACAACTTTGGCGCTGGGTTTTGGGAGTCTCCTAGTTGGACACTTCCGAGTAAGGCACCTAAATTGTTTTTAATTGTTGTTTAAAATTAAGGTTAAATAACAAACCTCATCAAAACACATCCAATGCAAGACATCAGAGTTTCCCTTCTGACTGGCTACATTTATATTTTTGCAATAGTTAGTTATCTATCTATTAATAAGCTAATAGTTTATTATTATATAGGGTAAAGTCCTTAGAATAATGTTAGTGTATTATTATTTTTCAAGGGAATTTAATTGAAGCAGACCTTAGAAATTTATGAAATGTATATTTGTGATATGACTATAGTTATATTTGGCCTTATTTGAGCAGAACAAAGGCCACGTTTTGTGCCAGCATCTGTACCATAGTTGGAACTGGTTAACATGATTATGCAAGGTTAACTGCGTTGCGGGAGTTGGGGGGAACAAAGATGATGGCAACGATCGAACGTACGTTTAGCCAACAATGCTGGGAATCTTAAGCCATGCACTTAAACTTAATCCAAGTCAAACAAAATGCCAACAAGAAGTTGCAGTTGCAGTTGCTATTGAAGTTGAAGTTGCAATGGCGAATTGCAAGCTGCGTAGCTTGTCAAAGACAATTACGCGGACGATCACAATTGAGTGACTGATTGGCGAGGGGAGAGTAGTAGCATGGTTGAATGGGATGCAGGCGAACAGAGGCAGCTTGAAACTTGAGACATTGAAGGCGTCGCGACAAAATGCCACAAAATGTATATCCTCGAGAGACGCCGCCGCTGCCGGCGTTGCCAACTGGCGACAATAAAAAAGGTGCTGAGCAATTTGGCGGACGCGGCTCTAATTGAG